ATAAAAAATATTCCATGTACCACACATTTTTTTTTCACTTGGCGTGGGGTATAGAAACAAAAACCCATCACCAATCATAAATCCAGCTGCTCATGTATGCCTTATCAATGATTATGTATCTTGTGGGAACTTTCTGAAAAGGACAAATATTCTAACATGTAGAGCTTTTTCTCTACAAAAAGAACATCAGAGCTAATGAAAAACTCATGTTGTTTCTGTTTCTGGGGATATTGTAACAAAGGAAATAAATTGCATGTTTTTCTACCTTTTTAGATAATACAGTATTTTGCAAACTTGCCATGATTTTGAGGGTCAAATAAAATAATACTATCTAAAATTTAAAAATTAGGTTATCCTGGCTGGGTGCAGTGGCTCATGCCTATGATCACAGCACTATGGGAGTTCAAGGCGGGTGGATCACCCGAAGTCAGGAGTTCAAGACCAGCCTGGCCAACATGGCGAAACCCCGTATCTACTAAAAATACAAAAATTAGCTGGGTGTGGTGGCACGTGCCTGTAGTCCCAGCTACTCCGGATGCTGAGGCAAGAGAATCGCTTAAACCTGGGAGGTGGAGGCTGCAGTGAGCCTAGATTGCACTACTGCACTCCAGCCTGGATGACAGAGCAAGACTCCCATCTCAAGAAAAAATAAATAACAAATAAAAATTAGGTTATCCTGCAATTCTGCCATGTATCTCCCTAGCATGTGAAACTAGGTGGTAGAGAAGATACAGCAACAGAAGATGTATCAAAGTGATCTGAGTGTTATACAAAGTGGTAACTAAAAACCCTTAAATTTAACTTAGAAGACAGGCTATATTTACTGAAGAGGGAGAGTCAATATGAGGCCTAGAAAATGGAAGACAATTCATTCCCAGGCATGGTGGCTGACACCTGTAAGCCCAGCACTTTGGGAGGCCTAGGCAGGAGAATCGGGAGTTCAAGACTAACCTGGGCAACAAAGCAAGACCCCATCTCTAAAAAAGTAATAAATTAACCAGATGTGGTGGAGTGTACCTGTGGTCTCAGCTACTCAGGAGGCTAGGCAGGAGGATGGCTTGAGCCCAGGAGGTTGAGGCTGCAGTGAGCTGTGATCATGCCACTGAACTCCAGCCTGGGTGACAGAGCAAAGACCCTGTCTCTATAAATATAAAAATTAAAAAATCATTGGTGTGGGGCCAGGTGTAGTGGCTCACACCTGTAATCCCAGTACTTCGGGAGGCCAGGAGTTTGAGACTGGCCTGGGCAACATAGCAAGACCTCCATCTCTGCAAATAAAAAAATTAGCTGGACGAGGTGGTAAGTGCCTGTAGTCTCAGCTACTTGGAGACCGAGGTGGGAGGGTCTCTTGAACCCAGGAATTGGAGGCTACAGTAAGCTACAATTGTGTCACTACACTCCAGCCTGGGCAAGAGTGAGACCCTGTCTCTATAATACAAAAAAGTAAAAAAAATTCATTGGTGTAGCACTGGCATTGTGTGTCTGCCCTGACTGGTATACTCAAAGATGTCCCTATGACTGGCTAGGTCAACTAGCAGAGAGCCAAGAAGCAGACTATCATAGTCGGACAGTGTTAGGCAGTATATTGAGTAGCTCCACCCATGGTGCTTCCAACTCAGACTTAGGATTTTACTTTGCTTCCATGACAACTTGTCTACTGCACTCATTAAACGTTAAGTATCCAGATCCTCTTCAAAGTTATATACTTGATTTCGGCCAGGCATGGTGGCTCACGCCTGTAGTTCCAATACTTTGAGAGACTGAGGCAGGCAGATCACTTGGGGTCAGGAGTTCAAGACCAGCCTGGCCAACATGGCGAAACTCTGTCTACTAAAAATACAAAAATTTTAGCCGGATGTAGTATTGTGCACCTGTAATTCCAGGTACTTGGGAGGCTGAGACGTTAAGAATTGCTTGACCTCGGGAGGCAGTGCTTGCAATGAACTGGGATCGCACCACTGCACTCCAGCCTGGGTAACAGAGCAAGACTCTGTCTCAAAAACAAAAACCAAACAACAATAACAACAAAAAAGTCATATACTTGCTTTAAATGAATAATCTGGGATCACAATTTTAAACCAAAAATAAGCAATTTTCAAAGTACTCTCCATTAACGTCTCTCGCATAACCAAACCAAAGATAGCATACTATAAACAAGGCACATTACTTGAGCTTATTTCATCTATGCAAGTCTTAGCATACATATTGAAACAGAAAAAAGATTCCAGAAGTTTCTAATTAACCATCATACATCTAGTATCCACAGAAAAATGTCACCTATTAGTTTGTGTCAAAACTGTCAAATGATGCAGTCATATACATGCTTTAAAAGATACATGGTAGCCCAAAAAATGTCAGTTGTCTTATTCTGTTTTGCATCTCAAATCCTGCTATGAAACAAGGTAGTTTCAAACAAACCATTGTGGATTATAAGCTACGTTATTTACCATATACAACTACAGTCAGTTCTTTTTACTCATAGCAGTTATATTCTATGAAATCACTATAGGCCAGGCCCCATGGCTCACGCCTGTAATCTCAACACTTTGGGAGGCTGAGAAGGGTTATCACCTGAGATCAGGAGTTTGAGACCAGCCGGGTCAACATGATGATACTCTGTCTCTACTAAAAATGCAAAAATTAGCCAGGCGTGGTGGTGCACGCCTATAATCCCAGCTACTTGGGAGACTGAGGCACAAGAATCGTTTGAACCCGGGAGGCAGAGGCTGCAGTGAGCCGAGATTGTGCCACTGCACTCCAGCCCGGGCATCAAGAGCAAGACTCTGTCTCAAAAAAGAAATAAATCACCATGAACACTGAATTAGAAAATACAGGTTGAACATCCCTAATCCAAAAAGCTCCAAAACCCAAAACTTTTGAGTGCTGATATGACACAAGTGGAAAATTCCACACCTGACCTCATGTGATGGGTCACAGTCAAAACTTTGTTTCATGCACAAATTTACTGAAAATACTGTATAAAATTACATTCAGGCTGTAACGTGTATGAAATAAATTGTGTTTAGACTTCAGTCCCATCCCCAAGATCTCATTCTGTATATGTGAATATTCCAAAATCCCAAGCATTTCTGAAAAGGGATAATCAACCTGTACCAAATTGTTGCCCCCCCTAGAGGAAAGACAGGGTTAGGTTCCTGTAAGCCTGTGACATGTCCAGCAATTAATACATGACCTTGTTTTATGTGTTTCTGTTGAGATAACTTATTTAACATACATTAATACTGAACTCATATACCTCATGACACCCATGCCTGAAAAAAAGCCTCCCTAACACCCATGTTCTCCAAAAGGCTCATCTCTTCCTGCTTGTGCTGAGGAACACCAGGTAACACTTCTGCACTATCCTTGGGGCCATTTTAAACAGCAAAATCCACCCACAAAAGGCACAAAAATGTCAAGAACATAGTACTCAAGAGACCATGAAAGGGCTACTCGTCTGGAAGTGTGATGTCAGGTGACGCAAACTTTTTGTTGCTCTGTACGTCCATGAAAGCAGCATATAGGGGTTACAAATAAATTTTAGTGAGCAGGCAAATTTGCAAATATGGAATCTGCAAATGAGGATCAACTGTTTCCTTAATTCCTGCAAGAATCCAAATGTCTACTCTCCAGAGCTGTTGGCTCTAGCCACTTAGTTTGCTACACCTGAAAAAGCAGACATTTCAAGAACACATGAATGACTTATCTTCGAATTCACAACAAATACTGACTTCCAATCAGCTACCTAACATAGAAAGCTATAACCCAACCTGGCACTAGATTTTGGAACTAGTGTGTGAACTTTATAGATCTGACTTCAAGTGTCTCAAAATAGCCAGCTCTTTTAAATCCTCAAAATTTGAATCATTTTGTATTACAATTTTGAAAAAATAAGGTGTTTCTCTGCCTTCTTAACACAGTGAAGAAAATCTTTCAGAAGAAATTGTAATGAACCACCAGCCCGAGAGGCTATGTCTGTAGTGAGGCAAAACACAAAATAATCAGGATCCCCACTGGATGCACTGTTCTATGCTAAAAGGTAGGAGGGTGGAGTCTGTATTATCTTGAGTTTCAAAAGAAGCCAAAGTGAAAAGCATCCTAGGTACAGAAGCATCACTAGGCTTCATCAGCAGGGAGGGCTGCCACTGTCACAAGCCAGGGGTTTGTTTGGATTTATTTAATCCCAAAGGTTAATAGAATTGTTTATTTAGCATGGAATGAGATAACCACATGTTTAACTTAGAAAGCTAACTCTGGCAGTAGTCCACAGAGAATGATGGGTTAGAAGTTAAAACTCAAAAGTGTAAATTGCCTGGGTTATCAGTTTTATGCAGATACCCTATACCCCAGGCCAGATCTTGTAAATCCATCCTCCTAAAAGAACCCCGTATCTTCACCTTTAACAAGTACTTGGGGTATTACACTAAAATTAAGTCACAATCATGAACTACCAAATTAAAGACCTTACAAAAATAAGGTTTAAAACTAATCATAACTTTTAACACTTTAATATTAAAACCATACCAAAGCTTATCTTATCTACATCATCTTCAAGAGTAGCTGTCATTGTTTTTTATATGATGTAAGAGTTTAAGCTAATAATCTCACAGCCTAGAAACCTCAATATAATCATAAACTGGCAGGCCAGGCATGGTGGCTCATGCAGGAGGACACCTTGAGCCCAGGAATTCAAGAACAGCCTGGACAAAATAGGAAGACCCCACCTCTACCCGCAAAAAAAAAACCCCATAAACTGGTTTATCTTCAAAAGCTGATGGGTGTCAGTCTTGTACATGAAATATTAAGATCATAATCCATATGGAAACCTTAACTCATAAAATGCACTACAGGAATTGTCTTGTGCCTTTTACATAAAACCAATAGACTCCTTGAACTTAACAGTACATTTTTCAAAGATTCTTATGTCAGCTCAGCACCATTAAGATATTACCTATTTATGCATGGCAATTATAAAGACTTTGAAAAAAAGCAAAACCGTGCACTGTTTAAGGAATTTTTATTAAAGCAAGAATTTTATAATCCAAATTACGTTTCCTTGCTCAGTTATCAATTCTGTTATTTAAAACAGAACTGACATTTTGAGCTATTCCACAGTAAAGAATTACAAAATTAAAGAAAGGAATGCTTTAAATTTTTGTACTTTGCTGAAAATTCTTTTTCCCAGGGTCTATAAAACATTAATTTGTTTTTATATTTTACTATTTTTTTGTGTTTTTTTTTTTTGTTTTTAAATCAGTAAGTAATCTAGGACTAGCATTATGTTTGCTAGACCTGGCATTTGCTCGGTACATAAGGTTCAAAGTTTCCTTTCCTTTTTTTATTTATTTTATATTTTGCAATGTTTTTTTTCCATAATATTTAAGTTTTTCGATGTTTAGATATTTTTCTTCGGTGAAGCACAAGTTTCTTTTCGTGGTCCCTGATCAATCTGTAAATGTTAAAAAAATAAATTAAGACCAGGACTATCACTTGTCAGTAGCAAATTAAAGCCCTTAGCCAAATCCAATGTAGCTGACTGTTTTTATCTATAGTTTTATTGGAACACAGCCATAACTGTTCATTTGTATATATACTGTATACGGTTGTCGTGACATGGTAACATTGGAACAAGATCATTTCAGAGATAACATGGTCCTCAAAGCCCAAAATATTTCCTATCTGGCCCTTTACAAAAAAGATTTACCAATCCCTGGTCCTGATCCTGGCTGCACTACTCAATTTCTTGGGAGTAATGAAAGACAGCAGTAGAGACCCAAGGACATCACCCGAAAAGGAAAGGTGTAACTATGAAAGCCAACCTGTGACAGGCCATTTAATATATATTACTATACAAAATCTGACAGGGCGCAGTGGCTCACGCCTTGTAATCTCAAGACTTTAGGAGGCAGAGATGGGCAGATCACTTGAGGTCAGACGTTTCAGACCAGCCTGGCCAACACGGCAAAACCCCGAGTCTAGTAAAAATACAAAACTTAGCTGGGCATGGTGGCATGGGCCTATAATCTTAGCTGCTTGGGAGGCTGAGGCAGGAGAATTGCTTGAACCTAGGAGGCAGAGGTTGCAGTGAGCCGAGATCGCGCCACTGCACTCCAGCCTGGGTGACAGAGCAAAACCCCATTTCAAAAAAAAAAAAAAACCTGAAAGTGCTGGGATTTTAAGAATCCAACAGTTAACGGCTAAAATTCCTTTAATTCCTCTATAGTTAGTTCTACTTTTCCTTGAAAAATTAGCAATACATTTAAATGACCTGTAAAATGATCTTTTACTACATACATTTCAAAAATATGCTCAACAAACGTAATAAAAGATGAAGAAAATAAGCTTAGAACAATAAACCAGAGGGAAAAGCTCACTTTAAACAGTTGGAACACCGGTGGCACTGTTAACTGCTTTCTGGGCAGCCTCTTTAGCTTGGTGGGCTTGTAGTACAGCTACAGCTTCATCAACCTAAGAAAGGTGCAAACAGATAAACTGGTTCAGGAAAGGAAATAAAGAGTTTCATATTGGTAACATACCAATTCCCAACAAAGATAAGTTTCTTCCCTCAGATGAAAGTATAAATTGTTACGTTAAACTATATACATTCAATTTTGAGTTCCATTACACCATTATTCTAGAATTATGAATCGCCCCCTTGCACTTCTCTTTCCTTGTCCCCCCATGCTCGAAAAATATTTCTGTCTCCACTAGAGAAAGCAGCAGCAGTTGAGAGTATGACTGTTGGAGCTGATGGGATTTGAAGCCAGGTTCTGCCACTTAAGAGCTGTGTAGGCATTTGGCAAATTACTCAGCCTGTTTCAGTTTCCCTATCTATAAAATGGGGATAATAGCACCACAGGTTATTATGCAGATTTTACAATTGTACATGGCTTATATATAACATGATATAAGTGTTCTGTACAATTAAGTCCCCATAAAAAGCCATGTAATAACTGTGTAAAGAGGCAACATGGTAAATAAATTTAAATCACCTTAGAACGGAGTGACTCAGGAGACTCGAGCATATGAAGAAGTTCTGAATTATCAATCTCCAACAACATGCCAGTGATTTTACCAGCAAGAGTAGGGTGCATGGCTTGAATAAGAGGAAACAGCCGTTCACCTAGGAACAGAAACATTCAAAAACTCCCTTCAATAAGAAAAATAGTTTTTAACTGCATTGAATTACCACATTAAACTGGGGTTTAAGAACCGTACTTCTGTCTTACGTATATAATAAACCATAATCCACAATTTCATTATGTCTTCATGGGAACAACAGAGTTAAGAAAATCAGCCACGAGGCAATTAACTCTTGACATTATCGGCTTGCCAATGAAGCAATGTTACCATTAGATTGTCAAATCGGTGTTCAGGCAAAGTCACAAATTTTCTTCTCATTTGCTTCCAAATTCCTTATCTCAAAAATGTAGTGAGGGCCCACGGTGACTAATGCCCTACTACCCTATTTATTACTAACAATACATTTCCTTATTGGCTTTCCAGTGGTTTTAATTAGGCAGACCAACTGTGTATCATAATCATTCATGCCAATTCAGATCAATTCCACTGCCCTAGTTGTCAATTTTAGGTACAAACGGTGCGTAAGTGATTCCTATATTTTCTAGTCTCTTTAAACTGGCAAGGTGAGACGAAAGTACTCACCCAACATTTGCTTTTGCTCTTGAGGAGGGGCAGATGCCAACATGGAAGCAGTCAAAGGTTCCTGACCTTGTACATGAACAGCAGGCTAGACAGAAAATGAGAACTTAAGTTTAAAGCACAGAAAAAAAGGCAAATACAGTCATCAATGGACATCTGCTGAAGTGGTAGACTTCCATCGAAACATGAGGTGGAGAAGTTGAGTGAGTGAATCAGAGGCCAAAGTAGTTATTATATATCATATACCATAGATATATATATATATATTTTTGAGATGGAGTCTCGCTTTTTCGCCCAGGCTGGAGTGCAATGGTGCAATCTTGGCGCACTGCAACCTCCGCCTCCCGGATTCAAGCAACTTTCCTGCCTCAGCCTCCCCAGTAGCTGGGATTACAGGCATGTGCCACACCACGCCTAGTTAATCTTTGTATTTTTAGAGCTGGGGTTTCACCCTGTTGGCCAGGCTGGTCTCAAACTCCTGACCTCAAGTGATCCACCCGCCTCAGCCTCCTAAAATGCTGGGATTACATATAGGTGTGAGCCACCACGCCCGGCCCATAGCTACTTATAATAGTTGTTTTAGACCAGGCATGGTGATTTAGGATGTGAATTTCTGGCTGCTTGTCCAATTCCTGAAGCATAAGACATCTTACGTACTATCATATTAGCAGGATGATCCAGATAGGCTAAGCTCTCAAAAATCTATCATGCAGGTGTCTTCACATTTTTTCTTTTGAGACAGAGTCTTGCTGTCACCCAGCAGGGATTACAGCTTGCTGCAGCCTCAAACTCCTGGGCTCAAGCAATCCTCCTGCCTCAGCCTTCCTAGTAGCTGGGACTACAGGCATGTGCCACCACATCCAGCTAGTTTTCTTTGTGGAGACAGGGTCCTGCTATGTTGCCCAGGCTGGTTGGTCCCAAACTCCTGGTCTCAAGCAGTCTGCCTGCCTCAGCCTCCCAAAGTGCTGGGGTTACAGGTGTGAGCCACTGTACCCAGCTGTCTTCACACCTTTGATTTCACCCAAGAAATGTGATTTTTATTAAGAAATCATTAAATCCATACCTGTTGCATTGTAACTTGTGGCTGTGCATTAAGATGTTGCTGAGGATTGCGAACTCCTGCAGCATATTTATACTGTGGAACGGTGCGGACAGCAGGAGTAGCTGCAGCAGCTGCAGCTGCAGGACGTGGACCCATTGTCTGTGTTGATGTGTTAGCTAAAAAATAAGAACGTTTTGTATTTTTATCTTGCTCTTTCAAATTGGTGATCAATTTTTACAGGAAGGATTAAGACTCACCAACACGCTGTGTTGACATGACTCGTGGAACCTGTGAAGAAGCTGGTCTCATAGTACTAAATGGTGGTCTAGGAGCAGCTGGGCGGATAGCACCGGGCATATTTTGGAATGCTGCATTTTAAAGATTTGAATATACATTAACTGGGAAAATTTACTGACTGAAAAGTGTTCATGCTATTTTCTTTGATCGGAGGTTTGCATAAAAGACTAAAAAGTGACAAAGCTTTTTAAAGCTGAGTCTTACATCTGCCATTTTCCCAGACTCAAGAGCATCAGTAAGTAAAAACATTAATTCATACAGGATGAGTACTTATAAATATACCTGGAACAAAATCATGATAAAATTCTAAGTGCTCCCAGCCGGGCCAACAGGGCAAAATCCCGTCTCTACAAAAAATTTTAAAAATTAGCTGGGTGTGGTGGTGTGTGTGCCTGTAGTCCCAGCTACTTGGGAGGCTGAGGCCGGAGGATCACTTGAACTCGGGACATGAAAGCTGCAGTAAACCAAGATCATGCCACTGCACTCCAGCCTGGAAGACAGAGTGAGACTCTGTCTAAAAAAATAAACTCTAAGTACTCTTGGAATATAACGTACTGTTCCACAGGACAAGACTTAAAATGCCACGACTCTGATTCTCATACATGATTAAATGGAACGAGACCTTTAAAACTGTGGCCTAACAAAATACGAAACTGGCTGGGTACCACAGCTCACGCCTGTACTCTGAACACTTTAGGAGGCTGAGGTGGGCGGATGACCTGAGATCAGGAGCTCGAGACGAACCTGGCCAACATGGTGAAACCCCATCTCTACTAATAATGCATTAAGTTAGCTGGGTGTGGTGGTGGGCACCTGTAATCCCAGCTACTCTAGAGGCTGAGGCAGGGAGAATCGCTTGAACCTGGGAGGTGGAGGTTGCAGTGAGCCGAAATTGAGCCACTGCACTCCAGCCTGGGGCAACAGAGCGAGACTCTGTCTCAAAAATAAATAAATAAATAAATAAATAAATAAATAAATAAATAAAGAAGAGCTGTACCTATTCCCAAAACTCTTATAAAGGAAATCAAACCACTGTAGACATTACTATCTTAGCACTGTTTTTAAATGCTATAAAAATGAACGTCCATAACCACAAATTACGTGAAATGCAATAGTTAACCTAACATTGATATAGAAGAGCTGTTTTACCCAATGAGTATTTTTAAACTCAATCCCCAACCTTAATTAAAAGAAAAAATACTTACGATGAGGTCTGGCACCCTGAGCAGTCCAGCGAGGACTTGGTCTTAGTTGAGCAATTTGGCTAGGAGGATAGTATGCAGCACGGTTCTGAGTCTGCAGGGAAAAAAAAGCACATGAGTTTATCAGTTGAAGAAAAAAGCAAGTAACGCAATAAATTATACGTACTTTTTCAAAACATTTACCAGCCCTTCACACTCAAGCATTTTTTCCAACTCAATCATAATTCACCTTTCTTAATGTTTCACATTTGGGGGGCATGGGGCATAAAAAACACTAGAAATGACCAAATATGAAATCCTTCATGGTTCTGGTTGCCTCCTAAAACCTACCTGTGGGATAGCTGCCATGAAGTAACCTGAAGGAGGTGCTGGCTGGTAGGGGTTGATTACAGGGTTGGGCACAGCTCGTACACTTGCCATTCTCTGCATATACTGGTTAGTGAGGTGAGCCTGGCGCTCTTCTTTGCGCTGAGCTAAAGCTACATACAATGGCTTTGTGGCCACAATTCTACCGTTCATTTCTGTAACTGCTTTAGTGGCTTCTTCTGGGGAGGAGAAACATACAAAACCAAACCCTTTGCTGCGACCACCCTCCATCATAACCTATTAAAAGGAAAAAAAAAAAAAAAGTTAATGCAATGGTAGAATGAGGCACATAAAAAGAGTATTACAATTTAGACAATGATAAATCACCGAATCAAATAACTAAACCATATTAATGCTTAATCTTGTATTCACCCATTGAGTTCACAATTTTTCCTTAATACCCAAGTTACTAAGGGCAAACTACACATATGCACTACCCTAGTCAAGCCAAAGAACTGACAGAAGTGAAGGCCGCAGAGAAACTTTTAAAGATTTTAGATACTGAATTTGATTGTATTTTCAATATTAAAATTATCTAAATAAATACATCCCAGGTCTACTAAATGGGCTTTTGGGCACCACTGGAAGCATTTCCCAATTAAATTGTGACTACTCTAACAATTCAAGCTGACAAGATGCTTTACTATGCCTTTGAGAAAAAAAGTAGTTGCATCTTACAATACCCACATCTTAAAAGTTTTCACATTCAAGAGCAGAGGATCCATAAATATTACACTACAAAGAACACTCAAGAGGAAGGTTCCTCTAAAATTGATTGCAAAGACCTTTTAAATGAGAAATGAAGACTTGCAAAGAACCACTCGCTAGGCCAGCAATATATATACGCGTGCTATAAAACTAAATTAACAATATGCGAGTGGCACAGGAACAAATGGTAATAAAATAGAGTTCAGAAATATACCCAAGCAATTATGGGAATTCATTGTGTTAAAAGTTAACATTTTAAAGTACTGGGGAAAAAGGACTTTGGGCTACTCAATACATGATACACTGGGACAAATGAAAAAATGTAGAACTCTTATTCACATTACATTGAAAAATCTTAAATGCCAGGTAGATTCTGAGTCTGAATGTAAAATGTAGAAATAGAAAGCCTTTCTAAGATCTCACACACACACACACACACACACACACACAAACTGAAGTCCATAAAGTGGAAAATCCGAAGAAAATATTTCCAATATAAAACAAATGTTCGGCCGAGCGTGGTGGCTCATGCCTGTAATCCTAGCACTTTGGGAGGCCGAGGCGGGTGGATCACCTGATGTCAGGAGTTCAAGACCAGCCTGGCCAACATGGAGAAACCCCGTCCTTACTAAAAATACAAAAATGAGCCAGGCGTGGTGGCAGGTGCATATAATCCCAGCTACTCAGGAAGCTGAGGCAGGAAAACTGCCTGAACCCAGGGGGTGGAGGTTGCAGCGAGCTGAGATCGTGCCACTTCACTCCAGCCTGGGTGAAAGAGCAAAACTCCGTCTCAAAAAAATAATAAAACAAATGTTCCCTCAATCAGTAAAAAGACAATCAGCCAGGCACGGTGGCTCGCGCCTGCCCAACACTTTAGGAGATCACCTGAGGTCAGGAGTTGAAGACCAGCTTGCCCAACACGGTGAAATCCCATCTCTACTCAAAATGCCAAAAATTAGCTGAGCGTACGCACGCCTGTAATTCCAGCTTCTCGGGAGGCCGAGGAAGGAGAATCACTTGAACCTGGGAGGCGGAGGCTGCAGTGAGCTGAGATTGCACCACTGCACTCCAGCTCAGGCGAGAGTGAGACTCATCTTTAAAAAAGGCAAAAAAATAAAAAATAAAAAATAAACCCTCCTAAGTTTAAGCATTTGCGTTGTGCCACATTAAAAGCACTCTTGGGCCGCATGTGGCCTGCAAGCAGCAGGCTGGACAAGCTTGGCATAAGCCCAGGAAAGGCTGAGGCTGCAGTGAGCTGTGACTGTGCCATGCCCCTGCACTCCAACCTGGGCAACATAGTAAGATCCTGTCTCAAGAAACAGAAAAATATCCATGCTTCACACATTCAAAATATGCTGATGCACAACACTCAATTTAAACAACATCCAGGGAACACACTGAAGACAAAAACATTCAGGAATAAATTCTATCATACTCTAAGTACTCTTACATAAAAAGCATAATCTGAAACACAAGACAACCATAGGACTTCCATCTTTCTTGTATTCACACACCTTTCCCCTAACATTTCCTCACTCTCACAGAAGCTTCCCCGGGCTTGCCAGGAAAAGCTGACTAGAAAGATCAGCCACAGCGTCATTCCAGTTCAGCTGAGTTGTAATTTTTTCTATGCACTCTTCCCAAACCCCAGCAAAATTACATATGCACAAAACTTTGCATATAGAGGGACTCTTGGCCCACGGACACTAGACAAAAACATCTAGAAGAAAACTTCTTAAATCAAGATTTCAGAATCTGTACTAGAATACTACTGTTGTGTTTCTTAATCTCTCACTTCAAGTAAAAGAAAATACGATCTCTATTTTTACTGCTAGGGGGCAGGGGAAGGAATTGGGGCTTGACTACCCAGAATGAATTGTAGACATGAACAAACAGATCAGAACTATACTAACAATTATAAGTCCCTAATAAATTGCTTCAGTAAAATGACTAATTGTTGGAATACTGCATATCATGTGAGGATTATCAGTCTTCCTTAGCAAAGAGTTCAGCACTTGCCATTTATAAGTTAACCCTTAGGCTACGACAACTACTTCAAATGTGAATATAAGTTTTAGAAGTAACGAAGCAAACACCTCTCTAGTGGCTATAATTAATGCAAAATTTATATACATATATCTACATGTATGAATTTTTATCAAACCTAAAAAAAACTGCACCATATGTTTTCTTACCTTTGCACTAGTGATTGTACCAAATGGAGAAAACTCTTTCCGGAGACGTTCATCATCAATACCATCATCAAGATTTTTCACATAAAGATTAACACCCTAAAAAGAAGAAAAGAAAACTATAGAAAAAGAAAACCATGGTGGTACCTAATTACATCTCCTATTATTTTATCCCATGTTTCTTCTCCTATTCCCCTCTCAAACCCTCCAGTTACCTGGGAGTAACTGAAATCAACGTAAAATAGGTTTCCTCATCCCTGTCTTATTTTGCTTGTTCAATTAAAAATGAACCTGGTATCTGGTGATCCTATCTTGCTTCATCTGTTCAAATTTGCGCTTAAGTTCCGTCTGCCGTTCCACCTTTTTCTGAGCTCGACCAACGTAAATTTGTTTTCCATTGAGCTCCTTTCCATTCATCTCATCCACAGCCTTTCAAAAAAAAAAAAAATCACAAAACTTTCAACTTATAGTTCATTTCCTTAACAGTTAAGACGAATTTGTTAAGTCACAAAAGCTAAAGACAAACCCATTCCAAAATCTCAAGGTTTTGGGACAACATAGGTTACCAATTTATACTCTCAAAGCTAATGCATAAAATGCAAATAACTGAAAATATAAGAACATGTAAAATAGCTATTAGTATGCACATAAACTTCAACACAAGAGCAATTCAACTTTGCACCCCCTTCTTCTTGCTGAATACAGACCACTTACTTTCTGTGCATCTTCATGCCTTTCAAAGCTTACAAATCCAAATCCTTTGGATTTTCCACTTTCATCAGTCATTACTTTCACACTTAAGGCAGGCCCTAAAAAATTTTTTTAAATAAATCAAAAATATTCCATACAATATTCATGTTATACATTTCAAATTTCAATATGCAAAGACAAAGCCACGAAAAAAATGAGATAAAATTTCAAAACTCCATAAATTGACTCCTCCCTCCCACCTTGAAAGACACTTTATTATTAAGAAGGTAAATACCTTCCCTCCCCTGAAGGATTCCTCCTTCCATTTAAGGAGGTTTACTTTAAATGGCTGTAAAAAGTTTCATTCTCAGCTCTAGCACAAAACAGAGTTGCGTTTTTTACCCAATAATTTGAAGCCTTCCCTTTTCTATATAGTATCTCATTCCATCGCCCAGGCTGGAGTGTAGTGGCACAATGAATAAGCTCACTTTAACCTCAACTCCTGGGCTCAAGTGATCCTCCTGCCTCAACTTACCGAGTAGCTGGAACTACTGGCCCACATACCACCATGCTTGGCTAACTTACTTTTTGTAGAGATAGGGTCTTGCCATGTTGCCCAGGCTAGTCTCAAACTTGTGGCTTCAAGTGATCTTCCTTCCTTGACCTCCCCAAACGCTAGGGTTACAGGCATGAGCCACTGTGCCAGACCAATTTGATTTTCTTTGTATCAATTAAGACACAAGTATTTATTAAGCCTTGGCCTACCTGACTTTCAATAGGGAGTGGAGGGAATACATGGTTGGACTCTTTGGTAAGACACAGGTGATTTAGGAATTTGAAACACAGGAAAAAAAATTTTTTTTTAAACACACAGGTGAATTACCGGGAGGAGGAAGCATTTATTTCTGAAGACATGTTTTCCCCTAACTCCCTCTAAAGTGGGAGAGATAAGTAACTGAGGCAGGTGGTCTCTCAAGCAAGTGGGGCAGAAAAGGTTAAAAATCACATTTGATTACAGAAATTTAGAAGATGTATGGGCCAAGGCAGATTTTCTGCTGAATGTGCCTCTCTCCTGAGGCCAAAGAAAATATGACATATTCACATATTTGTGGTCAACTTATGCAGCATTACTCATGGGATAGGTAGTTAACAACATCAACTTTTACAAATAGCTTCTAATTAAAAGATATTAAGAAACACGATAGTTGAAATATATAAAAGACAGCAGCTAAAGACAATTTGGGGGCTGAGCTGTGAAACATGATGTCACTTTCTACATTTTATATTATCTTTGTGCAAAATCGTATGTTTTTTGCTCTAGTGGAGGGCTCAATGTGACATGCTAGCATGACAATAAGCTATTACATTTCCTGGCCAGGCGCAGTGGCTCACATCTGTAATCCCAGCACTTTGGGAGGCCGAGGTGGCTGGGATCACTTGAGGTCAGGAGTTGGAGACCAGCCTGGCCATCATGGTGAAACCCCGACTCTACTAAAAGTACAAAAATTAGCTGGGCATGGTGGCGCACACCTGTAATCCCAGCTACTCAAGGAGGAGATAGGAGAATTGCTTGAACCTGGGAGGTGGAAGTTGCAGTGAGCCAAGATCACGCGACTGTGCTCTCCAGCCTGGGTGACAGAGCAAGAGTCAAAAAAAGAAAAAAAAAAAAAAGTACTAGATTTAGTATTATATTTCCAAATTCTTTATTATTTGACATACTAAAAAAAGCAAGCCACCTCTAAGTTCAACAAAAAGTGCAAAGGGCAGGGTCAAGCAAATCATCTGCACGTTTACGCTTAAAAGTTATTTTCTGTTACATCCCTACCTAAACTAAGGCTGGTTTGTGCTTCATTAATTTCAAGTTTTACGAAGTTATTTTTAAATGCAGGAAATAAGTATTTTAAATCCCAAGGAATCACTGGAAAATCTGGATTTTTGGCCTCATTGCTGAAAATCATTGTTTAAAACTGCTTAAACATGATGTTGCTTAAACTGACCAGCTTTATTGTCCTATGAGACTGCATTCCACTGTAAGCTGGCTGTGTCAAATGTATACTTCTGACGACACGGGATCTCTAATCACATACACGTGCACACACACATATATATATCTCCAGCCTCTTAATGTAAAATATTTTAAAATCTGTCCTAATTACTTAGTCATATCCTACTGTGCTAATCTAATGCTATTAACCTTTAACCTGGATAGAATTCTATTTATGTGTAATAGATGGCCAGCAGCTTAATCCTAATAACCACAAATATTTTAAAGTACCACGTAAGTCTAATTTTATTGACTTTTTTAGTATAAAGTAATAGCTAAAATTAACATTGAGCACTAATTCAGAACTTTGTGTGTAAAAATTTAATTAAGACACATTACCAAACTTGCCAAAGAGGTCCTTAAGGCGCTCATCATCCATGTCTTCTCCAAAATTCTTGATGTAAACATTGGTGAATTCTTTTGCCCTAGCTCCAAGTTCAGCTTCTCGTTCTTTACGAGACTTAAATCGTCCAACAAATCTAAGATACACAAGGACTATAACATTAGACACTATTTTATAAAGTTCAAATTAATTAAGCCTGATGGTTGGTTTTGTTATTGTTACTGAGAATATTCAGAATCCCTAATAAAGAGCACTCTACAGAAGAGAAATAGAGCCATAATTTAAGATATGACACCATGAAATACATGAATAAACCTCTAACTACAATCACAAAAAAGGAAACTTTTAATACACACTTCTCTAGCTAACCCAGGGTTAAAGGGATCACTCCCATCAATACAAATGAGTGGAAGTGCATGTGTACCATGCCAATAAAAAGACCTCAATCAAATTAAAAAGCTTTCATCATCATTTCAAAGTGGCCGTTGTGCTTTCTCTGCCATCTCCTAGAATAAAAATTTAAACTTCCCAATCCTGTACTCTAACATACAACAGCCTGACATAACTGCAGCATTTTCAACAAAATGACACTAAAATTTAATTTTTCCTGAATGTAACAGTAGTAATTCACAACAAGGATCACTGGGTTAGGCAGTGGCTCACACCTGTAATCCCAGCACTTGGGGAGGCCAAGGTGGCACAATCACTGGAGCCCAGAAATTCAAGTTCAGCCTGGCCAACATGGTGAAACTGTCTCTACTAAAAATACAAAAATTAGTTGGGTGTGGTGGTGTACACCTGTAATCCCAGCTACTTGGGAGGCTAAAGTACGAGAATCACTAGAACCCGGGAGGCAGAGGTTGCACCACTGCACTCCAGCCTGGGCAAGAGAGCAAGACCATGTTTCAAAAAAAGAAAAATAAAAAGAATAAGTATCACTGAAGAAGAAAAGGTAGCACGTGTGTCATAGCATATTGTAATACACAGCAAAGCAGAAGGAAAAACCATCTTTCATAATCTAACCCTAGTCATCTAAATCTCCTTATCTCTAACCTAGCTTTGGAATAAAAAGTAAAATAAAAATAATTGCCTTATCTCCCCACAAAATATGGTTGGTCTTCACTATGCTGTTAGTTTCATAAATGTTCTCAAAGGGAGTGTATTTCATTGTGGGAATCACTTTCTGCTTTGTAAATAAAGCTGCAACTTTTTTAATTGACAAGGTCTTGTTATTTTGCCCTGGCTGGAGTGTAATAACTGTTCATAGGCACAATCACAGCACACTACAGTCTTGGCTCAAGCATCCTGCCTCAGCTTCCCAGTGGCTGGGAAGAAAGGCACACTGCAGTAAAGCTGAAACTTTATGTACTTCTTCTTAGGACAGTTACAAATTTCCAAAAGAGTTATATCATTTTTACTCCAAACAGCAATATAGCATTCTTTTCTGGATCCTGCCAGGGTTGGGCTTGCTTTTTTTTCTCCTAAAGCACTGGTGACAGGCATTTGTAAGTACTAATTTTTTTTTTTTTAGACAGTTTCAATCTTGTCACCCAGGCTGGAGTGCAATGGCGCAATCTCAGTTCACTGCAACCTCCGCCTCCTGGGTTTAAGTGATTCTCCTGCCTCAGCCTCCCGAGTAACTAGGATTACAGGCATGTGCCACCACGCCCGGCTAATTTTGTATTTTTAGTAGAGATGGGGTTTCTCCATGTTGATCAGGCTGGTCTCAAACTCCCAACCTCAGGTGATGGGCACGCCTCAGCCTCCCAAAGTGCTAGGATTACAAGCATGAGCCACCGCGGCCAGACTTGTGAGTAATGTATGTCTCTCATTTTATAGTACTTAAGAGCAAATTATTTTGAGTTTCCTCACCTATAAAATGGGCTAATTTAACCAGTACCTCAAGAATTATGAATATTAGGTCTGAATTCCTGATTTTTCACTAATGCACTGATTTTGAAAAAGCTTCATATTTCTGTTTACCTATCTTCTGTTTTCCTTTTGGCATGAATGTTAATTATACTAAACCTGTTATTTGTATGTTATACTTATTGTGTAAAAAATTCAATTATAAAAATCAAGATTAGCTTATTTTCACTCCAGTACAACTGTATTCAATTTTCTTGTTATTCATCTTTATTTTTATTCTTTTATCTTATGTGTATCTAACTTCTCCCTGACAAATATTAACTTAAAATGAATGATTTGGAATTATTAAAAATAAGATTCAAAATATGATTAGTTATTTATACTTACACTTTGCGATCATTTAGGAGCATTCCATTCATTTTTTCAATAGCTCGTTCAGCTGCTTCCTGCGTCTCAAAGTGTACAAATCCATAGCCCTTGGAACCATTTTCATCACAAACCACCTAGGGAAAAACGTATACCCATTTTTCTTTATTTGCTATTGATTTAACATTTGTTCAGTGTTGAGAAACAACCTGTTAGCCATCTAACCTGGATATTTGTGAAATAAAGATATCCATTACAGCACAGTTCCTATTTCAAGCACTAAACTAAAAGTAGCTCAACAATATAAACATGTTTACCGGACATTTTTGGCTTACCTTACATGAAAGGATGTTACCAAAAGCAGAAAATGTATCATACAGTGCTTTATTATCAATGGATTTGTCCAGATTTTTAATGAATATGTTGCCTACTCCACTTTTGCGAAGTGATGGATCACGCTGAGACCACATGATGCGTACTGGTTTGCCCTTTATAACATCAAAATTCATGGTGTCCAAAGCACGCTCCGCTGCAGAAAAGACATTTTCAGAGTCAATATTATTTTTGCTGGCTACTTTACATAAACTATGGTGAGTGGAGTGGGTGGACACATGGTCTCACAGTTGAACACTTCCTCTTTAAGCTTCAAGATGGCTAGACCTTTTCAAGTATCACACACTAGTGTAGGACCTAAATTGTATAAAGCAAAGACAAATACCAGAAGCCCCCGAAATTTCTCACATATAAAAGGATGCCATATTGCTAATAATTAATGAATTCCTGAAGCAATCTCTTGCCTTAATTGCCATTAAATCTAGAAGTACTTTTTTTCCCTAGTTAACAAAATCCAAATTCCTTCACATATGACCCATTTAATAGTATAAGACATTACCCAATAGATTTATCTACAAGCTGGAAGTAGTTTACAGATTTAAATAGTTTAACTTCTTCCCAACTACTTGCTAAAATTGATCATTTCATTGCTAATGACTAACACTATTATACGAAAACCAGTCCATTTCCTAAAAAATGAAAGTTTCTTAATTATTGGGAGGAGGGAGGATTTCAGTGATTCATGGCACAACTTCCATTTAAGAAAATGAAAGGCTAGACCAAGATTTGAATCATGCTTTCAAAAGCTAATGTGAAGTTGGACATACTTGGTTTCATAATCACAGAATTTTAAAAACACCAGGTCTGCAATATTCAGAAATCACTATTAACGCTTTCTTGACACATAAAATCAATTTCACTTTAGATCGCTGATTTTCTTAACAATTGATTTAGTTATTTCTGAATAGTGCTAGAAAATTTCAAAATCTACAATTAATTTCAGGGTCTATAAAGGATTGAATTGGATGTATTCCTGTACCATTAAAGGCTGTAAATGAAATAACACATCCTTAAATGAAAAGACTGGTCCCCCAAGAGAGGAAAAACAGTCCCTTTTTAAGTCCTGAAACCATTTCCACAAATTCCATGCCAATGTAAATTTAAAATTATTCACAGGACGAATTTTCCAGCCACCTTTTTTATAAATGAAAGTTCCAGTTTCTAGAATATAGTGATAATCAGCTGTTAGCTCATTATCAAGTGACCACACCTACTCAGCTTCCCTAGGTTTTTTTTTTTTTTTTTAGCTGACTTTGCTTGAGCTATTTTTCAATGAGTCACCTCTTCCTATGAAATTGAAAACTGGTCACTTTCAGAAGCTATTCTGCCTATCAATGTAGCAATAAGGTTTTAAAAAAATAAGAACAAGAAATCCACTGAATTAGTTGGATGGCAAATTGTACACACAGAACTAGACAAATGGAAAACTGCCATATTCTTTTCAGTAGTTAGGGTACTGGTCTTACTGGTACAGACTGATAATATATACTGTACACTGTAACCACGGCAACCTGAAGTTCAACTCTTCGAACCCCAAGAAACATAAAAACTGTTTTTTGGATTTAAAAACGTCAAGTTGAGAAAGAGTAACACTTTCAAGTTACCATTTTACGGTCTCTAGAATTCATTCCCGTCTTTTCTCTACCAACTCTTAGGTTGTGATAACCTGCCCCAAAGTTATCTACCCGCATCTGACACGCATTGATACATCCTGCCTAAAGTTGACAAGAACTGTTATGAAGTGACATTTGGAGTTACTGCTTACAGAGCAAAAGGGCAGGAAACCTGCAGTGCAGTTTTACAACTTCTGGCTCTGTGTCACTCAATATTCGCTTCCAAAATCAGTATCAATTTTACACAGTGAAGAGCTGATCAGTAACCTAAGTTCTACTGAATGAATGTTAATAGAAGCTTAAATTCCAACCTTAAGGCATTTTCTACTAAAATAAAAATGAATTCTTCTTATTTCTATTATTTGACACATATTCAAGTGGCCAGCCTGTAGGGGGGAAAAAGGCAAAATTGGGCTGTAAAATGGAATGAAGCTGACTTCTCAAAGCCAATTGATCTAAAGACAAATCCTAGCAACTCAACAGACCATCATAGATATTATCTGTTTACAAAATCGTATTTCTGTTAACTGTTTAGCTTCCAAATAAAAGCACAAAGTTAGCTGCATTTCCCCCCCATAAATTTCAAGCTCAATTTAATCTCTGTTGGTTTGTACTCAGTCATTTCCCAAGATTTACAAGTATCATGGGCCACTTTTAAAAAAAAAAAAAAGAGAAACTTGAAGTTCTTGCATGCTACAGGTAAGACTGGTCCAGTTGGAATTACACTAAAGTAATATTTTATAGCCAAAATTGACTATTTTATAAAGAAAAGCCCCTCAAAACGACAAGAACTATTTCAGAAGGTAACATATAATATACTCGAAAACTACCAGTATTGTGAATCTAAGGTAAAATTTAACTAAACAAGGTCTAAGTTGCCTGAGAAAACTGGCCTTCAAAGTGGTCGGCTCCCACAACCCCTCCTCCCACTCTGCCCTTTTAATGTTAAAGAAATGCTTGATCTCGGGGAAACCCCCAAATGCACGTCTCCAGTAATTTCCATTTCTAGATCCATCAGTCACTGATGAGTTCTGGGGAGTGGACTCACAAGCCTGAGGACCACCACCACATCACACATCGCCACAGGAACTTTATTCTAAGGCCTGGTGGCTCCCCCAGGCGACTGGGCCAGGAGCAGGAGCAGGCCTCGGGCCTGCGAGGTTACAGGGTTCAACACGTGGTATTTTTTGAGCACCGAACTGCACTTCCTCCCCAGGCTGGGGCGCCGGCAGGAGCTCCGGGTGGTGGGAGTGCCTCCACCTCTTACCCACGAAGGGAGCTCAGCGCTCAACGTCCCAGAATCCCGGGGCCACCGGCGGGAGCGCGGCGGAGGAACCGAATCTACCCACCCTCCCGGCGCGTCATCACCCTAAAGTTTGAGAGCGTCTGAGGCCGAGAAAATGGTCGCAAAGGAGGAAGTAGCCGGGCGTGCGGCTGCCGGCAGCGCGAGTCCCCGCCGGTTCGGGGAACGTGACTCCAGGGGCCCC